ACATGAACCGCTTTGGAAAGCATTGCAAGAACAAGAAATAGATGAAAAGTATATAGAAATACTGAAAACAATATATAAAAACTGTACAGCTGTAGTAAAACTAGAACGTGAAAGAAAACCATTCGACATAAAAAAGAGGAGTACGTCAGGGAGATCCTATTTCTCCTAAACTTTTCATTGCATTACTAGAATATATATTTAAACAACTGAATTGGGATAATTTGGGAGTTAAAATTGACGGAGAGTACTTGAATCATTTGCGTTTTGCCGATGATATTGTATTAATTTCTGAAAAGCATAAAGATGTCGAACACATGCTCACGACGCTAGATAAAGAAAGCCAGAAATGTGGTTTGAAAATGAACTTTTCAAAGACGTTTGCAATGACAAATAGCGAAAAAATTCCTATAAGTATTGAGACACAAAGTATTGATTATGTCGATGAATATACATACCTAGGAATTAACATGTCTTTTGCAACACCGCTCAACACAAAAGTACAATGCAGAATAAAAAAAGCTTGGTGTAAATACTGGTCCTTGAAAGAAATTTTTAAATCAACTTTACCTATTAGGCTAAAAAAGAAAGCAATGGACACAGTAATTCTCCCGACATTGTTGTATGGATGTCAAAGTTGGGCACTAACAAAAGATATCATAAATAAGATTCAAGTGTTTCAACGAGCTGCAGAGAGAAGCATGATAGGACTGAAACTTATAGATAGAAAAAGAAATAAAGATATACGAAAAATTACAAATATCATTGATGCTGCGGAGCTGGCCTGTAGATTGAAATGGAGGTGGGCAGGCCACTTGGCAAGGACAACGGATGGGAGATGGAGCGAAAAAATGTTATATTGGTACCCACGAATCACAACAAGACCACGCGGAAGACCTAAAAAGCGCTGGAGCGATGACATCATTGACGTAGCGGGGCCCACTTGGACGAGACTGGCTAAAGACAGAGAAAAGTGGAAAAGGTTGGAAGAGGCCTATATCCTTAAATGGATACCTAAATAAAAAAAAATATAATATAAAAGAAATGAAATGTTTATTGTTATTGCATGCTAATAATAATATATTGAATGTAGATAAAATAATATAATAAAAAATAATAATATAATATAATAAATAACAAATAGAATATGTAAAAAGATCAATAACATGATATGTTTATAAATAGTTAGTAAGTGCATGTAATATTCTTGTCATTTTAGGAAATAAAAGGCTTTTTATTTATTATTTATTATGATGACTAAAATATATTATTAAAAGGGGTCCCTTTAGGCAACGTTTCGAAGATACTGGAAGCGTTCCCTCTTTGAATAGCTAGACTAATTCTTTGTCCAAGGTAGCTGCCAGCTCTTCGGTCTTCTGCGATGTCGACTAACCTTTTCGTTATTTCTTTGAAAAGTCTACTCTCTATATTTGTAATGATAGTCACATGATCTAATTTCGATTACGATTCTAATTTCAATTCAAAACTCGATGTTTAATGAAATAATCGAACTTCATGATAATGATCATGAGTTCGATTTTTGTTACCCGGTTGTCTAGATAATTCTAAATATAACACAAAAATGTGTTAATACTTACGACTGTATTTTTTAATATAAAATTTGCAAATTGTACAAAAACGTTTTCTGATTTTATTGTAATTTAAATAGCGAACAAAAAGATATAAGGATATACTAATAATTATAATAAACTTTTTATTGTGCACATAGATGAAATATAGATTTTATTTGCTGAGCTTTGGAGTGTCTGTTTATAATATTAAAATAATCGTTTTTTACTACATGCATATAAATAAATAAATAAATAAATACGATACATACACCAAAATAACATTTTATATAATTTTTGTCTTTCTGTCTGTCTGCCTGTTTGTTTCGGCTAATCTCTGAAATGGCTGGACCGATTTTGACGGGACTTTTTTTGCAGGTAGCTGATGTAATAAGAAATAACTTAGGCTTTTTATGATTAGAAAAAATAACAGTCGCGGGAACAGCTAGTATCTAATATAATTTATATAGTTGAGGTAGGTAGTGAGAATTGGGTATCATAGAAAGAATATATAAATATATTCATTCACTCTCATTTCGTCTGTACTCTATTACTCATTATTCATCTACTTTCATAAGTCACTGATGTTAACTCAACCCAGGTCTAAAAAAAGTACAATACGTCTCGTTTAAGAGTGCATTTTATAAACTTTATCTACATTCTTATCATAGTCGTATGCTATCACATCCCGATAATAAGTATTATAAATTATAAATGTATAGTTTTCTGGTAATTACTGTAAGCTTAACCAAAAATAAATATAAGTACAATAACACATTTTTAAGAGGTATTCAAGATGGTTTATTTTAGAGATTGTAATAGAATGATGCATTCGCCTGAACTAATAGTTTACGCTGGCGGGGCACCAGTGGAGGGTGATGTAATCAGCATTAAGTCAGGTCGGTTAACCCATCTTTGCAATTTACCACGGTAGTTTCCTGGAGGAAACCGATGGCAATGAGGTTAGCTCATAGTACTAACAATGCCCTTCCTCCCTTCCAGATGGAGTTGTCAGAGGCATTATCAACTGTTACGTTACCGTTTGTTCAAGTAAACCTATTTATTTTTATTTATAACAACAATATAATGGGAAGAATATCGTAATGGAATGAAAGTAGTGATTATGACGTCTATAGCAGAATCCTGCATTTGAGATCTAGTTGAACTTGTAAGGCGGTGTGTAAGCACTGGAATTGGTTCTCAAAATTGATATCGGATTTCTAATTTTTACTCTAATATTTGAGAATTAAAAATTAAAGCAGAACACTGTTGTAATAGATTAATAGAAGGTATAGGCTTACTTTATATAAAACCATATAATAATTATATTGATGTCGTCGTGCAGTTTATTAATATTTTTTTATATTATATTTAATATAAAAAAATATTAATAAAGTGCATTAATGTTTGTACCTACCGTGCGAGGAATCGAACCCGCGACCATTGCAAATAAGGCGGTTTGCTAAACCTAGAGCTAGATCACGAGACCATCAATGACCACAAGACCACAGACATCATATGTACATATACATTTTAATTTTGTTTATTTACTAGCTATGATAGCGGCTACGTACACGTTGTCTGTTATTAAATGCCTAGTATTAACTTTGATCAACCTAGAACCTTTGTTTGTGAATCAATTAAAACAAAACAAATAACACCATTGCACCGCTCGCCATCGACAGTGAATTCATCTTCACACCATTAGAATAAATTAATGATTTTCCTTCCACGCATACTCAGATTGTGGAATGATTTACCAACCGTGGCTTTCTCCAAATACTATAGAATGGAGTCTTTATAGGTAGGTAGGTAGGTAAAGTTTCATACCGTCAACGCGAAGATACCCTTATTATAGGTTACGGTAACAGCTTATGATTCGTATGCTTCTTTGTCCCTATTGTAGGTTACAAATATGTTACACGAAGCAATACACCACTGTAATTCGAATTTAAAGAAGTTAACCTGTTCAAATTGGCCTGCACAAACGTACACAAAAATTCTAAAAACTGTTTTAGTGACCTCGGTAACATAAGTATAACAGGTAATTTTTTTTTAATTTAAAATACAAACTGGCTTCTTTACAATTTTGTAAAAGGTATGAATGATATTATCATGTAAATGTCGGGAAACGTGTATAGCACATAATTTTAGATGAAGACGAGTTGATTTGAGAATTCGCGTTTACTCGTTTGTGTCGAACAGTCTTCGATGAGGACGTAGATACATATGTATTGAATGTATACAGAGCATATACAGGGGAAGTCTTAAATTAAGGAAATCTTATTAGGAAATTCCGACGTGTGTCGTCGCCTAAAAGCTGGAGCGAGGGTTGCATGCGGGACTAATGAACGTGTTCAAAATTTATAACACCTTTCACCTCCTAGCTATTTTCTAAGAAGTAAATTTTACCTCAAACTTGTTATGTATAGTGACCAACATTGTACTCATATATTGTTACTTAAATGTACCAATAAAATGTATATTTAATATTAGACTAGCTTAGACTGTTATCCAAGATAGGACGTTTTCAACAGTCGTCGTTAAGGTGCCAAGTAGTACCTCTAAAATGTAGATATAGAATCATTAATAGAGCAAGTTCCAGACCTGCCGTTATTTCTTTTCTGATGAAAGTAATATGTATGAATAAATGTCGTAATGTGCCTTAATAATCTAATAGCCATGGTATTTATCACCATAGTATTTATAGATCAAACAAAATGGGCGGGCACTATTGTATTTGTTCCTCATATAATAAACTGGGTACTGGGCTCTGCCTAACTTGGGTCTAGACCCAAGTTAGGCAGAGCTTGTGTTGTGGATACTAGTCAAATGATATCACTACATTTTTTTTATATACCTACATAATATATATAGGAAACACTCAGACCAATACAAATAATCTTACTTATGACTACAAATGTTTGTACTGTGCGAGAAATCAAAGCCGAAAATCGGAAGTAAGATGGTGGCTAAAGAGCTAGACCACTGAGGCCTGTCGCCACATTTAATACCAGAATTGTCTCAGGAACGGTTACAAAATTAGGTTTGGAGAATTTTTGGATTTCAGATGGAACTGACAGTTTGTAAATAATATTAAAATCGTTATCTTGTACATATAAAAATTAAAAATTGTACATATAAAAATTAAAAATAAAAATTATCAGTAAATAAAACTTATTCTTGTTAATCTAGCGGGAAATCATACGATTATTATAAATACTGGCTCTACTCAATCATGCACATTTCGTTCGTCAGAAAATAAGTGACGTTTGGCAGGCTAAAGTATGTACTTATAATATTAAATGAACATATATATCTTTTTTAATCTGTGTCGAAACAAAATTATATCATCTGCCTTTTATTTTTCTTTTCAATTGTAGGGTTATATCCATAAAAAAACATTAAACAGAATAATATATTTATGATGTTTCAACAATTGTTGTTAGCGTCGTAAACAAATGTATATTGATAAAGTCGAAGTATTTGGGAATTATTACAAAATTTATTTTTACAATGAGAGATTCAAACATAAGTAAGTACAACAGGTCTGTCTCCTCTCTAATCAGATACATGGGTTCATATAAAATAAAAATAAACAATTCAATAATAATTATGTACTTCGTCAGTTTAATAAAAATAAATTTAAAAAATATATAAGGATCAAAACATGCCTACTGATAGAAAATACTAAATGGTATTTTCTATCAACGAAGCATTCAATGGTAGGTATTTTTTGCAAGATGTATATCTGTTATGGACTTTGGTATTTTTTATATAGTATTTCTTAGAGGCTATTGATGTAATACTTCTTATGATATATTGTTCTTTTAGGAATTATTTATTATTGACTGTTATTTCTACTTATTTAAAATAAGTTAGATTAATTAAAAAATCCATAAAAATAAATAAAAACTTTCATACTAAATTCTGAATTTCACATTCAATCCAACAATGTTCTTTACATACTTCAAGTAAAAATCATTAAAGATAAATTTAGTATCTATATATTTAGATACCTTTCGCATACTTCAGATTAGATTACTATATAATTAATATTTGAGTCAGGCAGGAGTCACTAATGAGGCCACTATATTAATTACGATTGTATTAACAATTATGCAATTAATATATGTCCTCGATGCTGTATAAACAGCATTTTAATTTTCCTAAAATTATATCTAGATTACGCTAGTTCAACTTAACTTACTACTTTTTGAAAAAACGCATGAAAAACTGTGAGTATTAGAAGAGCATAAAATCGTGGTTTAATATTAGGAGCAGAGTCCGTAACAGTTTGTATCCATCTTGTGTAATTGGAAACTCTAGTGTATAGTTCTGGCCGTGATGAATTCTCGCTCATGCAATCGTTTGGCAAGAATGAGATTCCTGTTAATATGCCGCCGCATACTAATGCATTTCCTTGATCACCCTGAAGTTTAAAAAAATATATACATTAATATCTAATTTACAAAATATTATTCCGCAACTTTAGGTGAACTTAATTTCCATATATGTATGTATTTTTATTATATATAACATCGTACATGAATAAGGAAAAATATTTGAAAGTGAACTAACCTTACAACCTTTTGTATTGTTATCACTAACGTTCGTGCAAACCATGGAGGGTAAAATTTTTTCCACTTGGTCAAAATTATTAAACAGTGATATGCAAGAATTTTGATTTAAAATATAATTGTTTATATACTGCAATTGTACTGACGGTATCTGAAAATAAAAATATAAGTCATAAATACCTATGTATGATATTTCGCTTAATTGCTGAATCAGATCTCAGAGTTGTTTATTGATCGTGAATCAATCATAAACAAAACAACACCAGAATTCTCAACATTTCAGGTGAGTAAGCTTTTACCAAGATAAACTATACTACAGAGGAAGCCGAATTTTTATATTGGTAAAATATAAAAGTTGTTGAAGTAGTACTTCACAGACTTTCACAGTCATCTAAGTACGTACCTACTATGTATCTCACTTATTACTGCCGCTAAGCAGCTTGCTTAGAATTTGTTTTTATTTAGGAGGTAAGATTTGGCAGGCAAAATTCATATTACAGACGCATGGTAGCACGTTGTAATATTATCTTTCTTACCATTCTAGTTTTGTAACTAAATAATATAAATTACACTTGGCCAGGATGTGTATACATAATAGCGATGATTTATATGATAAGTTTAATTCTTCTTGTTGTGGTATAGCAACAATTTGTATCACTATTAGTGTGTTACTATTTGATTAGGTACTTATAATTTATTGGGCAACGCATTTTCAGCGTGGCAATAATAGTATGGTATAAATTATAGTTTTGTACTTACAGAGGATAAATTAGTCTGTGCACCCCAACCGGCAATTGTGCATACTGTTGAGTCACGTGGTGTGTAATCGGAAGGTGGCAATGCTAGTGGTTTCACAACTCTTTCCGGAAAAGGACTTACCAACTGAAAAGAAAGAACAATATTACGATTAAGTCTATAAAAATAATTCTAGTGTGCTTTGTAGGAAGCTTAATCTCCTTAATCATTGAGTACTAAAGGTAAATAAATTTTAATTGCCAAAGTTAACTTTATATAGCTAAAATAAATTATCCTAAAGGTAAAAAGTAGCTAAAATGCTCTAGGAAAACGGAGTTCGGTATTATCCATAAATATTCTTGGATACTGTGAGTACTGTGGGTCGAACTTTCGGGTAATTGAACAAAATATGGACATTATTTAGTAGTTTTTAATACTTTGATGTGCTCGTGACAACATGAATGTAATTGAACGTGAGTTGTTCAATAGATTTCACATCTCATGTGCAAATTATAAAGATATTATCCAAACCTAACTAAATTCACTTGACGTTGAAGTTTAGATATATTTAACATATAAGATTTCACTTTTAGTTTAATGACACAGTTCAGAACAATAAGTTTTTATTAGATATAGAAAATATATACTTACAGTAATAATGGCAAGATCATTAGCACGAGAAGGTTCAATTAGATGTTCAGGGTGCCTTGTATAATTTTCTATACTTCTTATTCTATCTGATGATGTTTCATTTAGAAAAGCGGAGCCTGCAAATACTATGAAATCGCTTTCATTATAGTGTATCACTTGTCTGTAAAATAATACAGTGAAAATCAAAGATGCAGTTACGTGTGTTAGGCAGAGGCATTGTTAACTATCGATGTCGATGTTGTGGTGAACGCAACACTTGATAAGTCTACATTTTGCTGGGTATGTTTGATTCTATACGTTGAAATCAAATATAGGGGACGAGCTTATTTAGATAGATAGATAGATAGACACGATGCTCAATTTTGTACAATAGTACTGTATATATTTATACTTATATGGTGTTAGTATGACGGCCTAGGTGGTGTAGCGGTTTAGCACACCACCCTACTCTTAATCGCCGCGGGTTCAATTCCTCGCACGATACTATTGTACTCATGAGTGTTGTTTGTATCGGTAAAGGTATTTGCTATGAATATTTGTTATAAATTTACAAATATATATATATATATATATTAGTGGTCTAATACCCATAATACATGCCTTGCCTAGCTTGACGCTAGATAGCACTATGTGAATTGTCCTGATATATTATTGTTATATTTTTGACAGACCGTAAATATACCACATTAAATATTTTTTCTAATAAACTATATATACATTTCGTATTTAGAAATATTGTGCGTTTTTCTAATCTAATGTGTAATCAATCTCAGAGAATTTTAACCCATTTCAATGCAATTTTTACTCAAGTAGGTTTGCGTAATATTTTTCTTTATTTTGGCAACAGATAGTCATTGCGTAAATACAAATAACTTATTTTTTACAATAAATTTCAAATTATTTTATTTTCAACTTAAACATATGGACACCAACAGAACTTTTTAGATTAAAATATTGTGGATTTACACATGCACAATATTGTTTATTATGTTACAATCTGTTTACAGACATAAGTTATGTTTCTATTGTCATTTATAGTAACTAAAATTACAATTTCGCTGTAAAAGCTAGCTAAAAATATTTACTTGTTGTTAGCGTAGTCGATACGATATGTACAACTGGCAGCCGTCAAAACATGCCGTTGTGTAATCAATACGCCACCACACGTATGTCCGTGTCCCGGATTAGAAATGTCACTAACACGCTGAATGGAAACCTGTAATGATAACAAATATAATTATAACCATTTCTACAATTAAATTATACTTTTTTTTTGTCTCTTTCTCGTCTATTTCTGCCGCCGCATGATTATTTCAAATTCGAATTAAACATATCTGTATTCATGTAGGTCTATTACAGACTCTTATGATATGTAAAATCTACCGTCAGTTCGGAATAATTTCAAGTTGAGAAGAACTAACAAGTAACAAGAACTCAGCTTGTATTCTTTTCAAATAAATGTTGTACATGTTTATAACAATACAGATTCATTTTTAAATTCAAATTTGGTGTTAAATGCCTAACGACGGTGATATACATCACATTATCATGTGACGCCCAGAATACCCGTCTTGCGTTGCCATTCAACCATAGAAGACTACTAAATGATATACCGTCATACCTTGTAGTTTCACTGCAATGTGTAATGCTCCAAACACAAATTACAAAGGTTGAAATGGGTACGACAGGGGTATCTACGTAGATAACTTTGTCCAAAGTCAACCTCTTGTGTACAGACCGATATTGTATATATATATGAAGAGGAAATTCATTTTGACACTTGCATATGTTTGATGTAACCGCAGCAATAAACTAGAGAAATATAACAAATAATTACCATATAAGAAAATTGTTCAATGGTGGCATTTAGTCCATTTAAAATTCTTTCCGTTATTGTGAGTTCTAAAGGTCCTGCGTATGAGCCTGTAAAAAAATTAAGTTGAACCAAGTTGTACCAAAATTTTATTGCTAATATATAATATTTATAACATATTATGATTATCACTGAAGCGTACAAACTTATTTTCTCAGGTAGACAAAGTCATCACCTATCGCTAAGCAGTGTATTTTACAAGTTGTGTATTGATGGGAATGGCCAGACATGGTAGTGACATTACAGAATATAGAGGTGAACAACTTAGATCTCAAGAATGGCAAGTATAGTATATTTATATACACATAAAAAGTTTTGAATACGTCTAAAAGTAGGCATGGTTGTGCTCTAGGTTCTTAATGATACTTTTTAAGATTTATATTACAGTATTTGGGGATCCTGTTCTGACTATTTGACATGACTGACGAGACGGTTATATTATGAGGAAAAATTTGTTAGTAACTTTCCCGTAATATCAATTACTGGAAGAGCTATAAAAAAAGGGATATAGTGACGAAGACTGCAAAGGTGAAATAGTCGTACGTCGAATATACGGACTTATTCTCTTTCCGGCAGTACATTCGATTTTGTGCAACTTGCTGATCGCGTCACATAGATACATAATTTTAGGCACACTAGGACATTATTTTGTAAATAAGCTTGTAAATCTATTGGCGGGAAAAATATAAAAATAAATAATTAAATAGAGCAATATCTCGTAGTTCTAGGCACGTCGGAATATTAAAAAAGCCTGTGTTATTCTCTGATAATATATGTAGTTATATATTTCACCTATATATATATCTCTGATAATATATATAGGTGAAATAATATTTAAAATCTATTTTTTTTCTTTAAACAAACATATGAGATTGATATGGTTCGACAGGAATATCGGTAAACAGATAATAACTTCGTTTTAATATTATAACACCACCGTAAAACTTACAGAGAATATAAGAGTTCACCAGACTTAGATTTTTTCCGTCAGTTATCGGCTCATCGACTGATACGGCTCATTATTACCGTTTCTTTGTTAAACTATATTGATCAATATTGTATAAATATTCTCACAACAGATTCAATCGCACCGAAATTCTGAGCACAGATGTTTCCACTAGCTTCCTTAGCAAATCGTTTCACACTTAATCGAACTAACAATATAAAATAATAATAATAATTTAAATATGAATATTAAAATATAACGCAATAATATTTTTACTATTACTATATTATGTTATCTGTGCTATTACTAACTTACAAATAAAGGCCAGTGGCAAAAAATATAAAATTTTTCCCATCACGATCACTGTCACAGTTACAACCTCACACCACGGAACATTCGCCTACAACTAACCGTTAATTAGAATATCGATAATTATAATATATATTTTATCTCTATTGATCATTTATCAGTTCCCCCAGAATTCATGTCATAGATAACTGTTGCCCTATATGGTGAAAAGTAACCAAAATTGGTTATTTTTTTAGTTTGTTGTACAAAGAAAAAAGATATCATTCAGGACATTATGACACATCATCGTCAAAAATACTATAGTATACGCTATAAACATATTTTCTAGATATAAAAAAAAATTAGTAACATAGATATAAAGATAAGAAAACTCATCACTATATGTAATCATACTTATGATTACAATTTATACAAACATTTGTAATGCTTGTGTAATGCGAGCATCGAATTTGTAACCATCGGAAAGTGGAGAAGCGTATTTATTACCTTCACATAACTGACACCCTAAACAATAGACTTTCTTCATAGATACATCTATCTTATAAATGTATGAGGTTTACCAAATATATCAAATAATCACATAAATTAAAGGATAAAAGAGACATCTTAGTCCTTTGGAATGGTAACATATGAGTGGTATCATGGTGGTCACATTATGTCCGTGCTATACGATGATTATCGCTTACCATCAGGTAGGCCATCAGCTTGTTCCCTATAATTGCTTACTTGTTCATGAGTATAATGCTTCTTTGATATGCTTAAGACTTTGAGTCTATGGAGGCTATATTCAGGAATAAATATAGGATAGTTAAAACGAGGATAAATTATTACAAAAATAGCTGTCTCGTAATATTTATTATTGTCGGGAATATGTTATTTTATAATATTTCCAACAGTTCTTACTCACTTTATTTTCTAATAATGAAAAAATCTGTGATAGTTGTTATCAAACCATACCACAATCTACGTCAAATTTAAATTTCCAATTGTAACCTAAAAATGCTTTTAAATGCTTTACTATATCACAATGTCACCACGTAAACGCAAACACAATAATAAACATGGGTATTTCAGTCGTTTCGGCTGGTTTCAAATACCATTGAAGGGGTAATCTGCGCTAATGAGAATGTTAATGTGCTACCCCCATCAGGTTTGGTTTCGTAAACACCTCTATGTGGAAATTACGTAACCCATTCTTAATGGTGTGTCAATAAATTACCTGGATGTATATGTCACTTCAAGCGAATTACAAGAAATTTACTTGGTATATTTTAAGTTGTTTGAGTTATTGCTCTACATTTTATAAATTTCAAAGTCATGTTTTATGTACTTGAAAGTGTCTAATGTAATCGGTTAAATAAATACTCGTATCATTGTGACTGAGACAGATTATGGCGTAAGTAACTACTCGTAGTTAATCACAAAATCGTCTGTGATCTTAAGATGACAATTGGGATTTCATTGAGACATAACAGATAAATTTTATTTTTATCTAACAATTTTTAGTGATATTTGGCAAGTTTGTATTTTAGGTCTATGATTAAAGTTCAGCTTTTGATGAATCATAAAGATTGATCAAAGGTAATTCACCTTATATATGTAACAAAAGTTTATCTACTGATTAAATATTTCACGAGCATTCATTTTAAACTCAAGTCCAGTTCAATAACCGTCAAAAAATATCAGTAAGTCTCTGAAGTAGGTTTTAACAAAAAACGAAGTATGTGTTTTAGAATATATAACCTTTTTTAACTAGGATTATATATTTATATATTTTCCTCGATTCAATTTTCCTCCTTTAGGTACCTCAAACACAAATGAGTGAACGCAAGTGAACACTTATTTAATTATTTTTATAAAATGTACAAATCCATATAATACAACAAAATATGATTTTATACTGATTATGAAACAGCACCATGGAGTTACTTATAAATAAGATATCTTCATAAATATATAATACCGTCCACCTTGTCTTTATCTTTAATATCATTCTTTTTAGTGATGGCACCCCTTGAAAAAGAATATAAACTCTATAAGATCTTTGCTTACCTTTTTTAGCCGCCATAGCTTTTGTACCTTCCTTTGTAAATTGTTCCGGTTGCAAGGATTATAATATGCAAAAACTTTGCCTGGTTACGATATGGTCCTACGAAATATCATCTCTGAGGTGTAAAATAAAAGTCAAGGGTAATTTAATCATACAGAATACTTCCGGCTACTTATTTAAATCATATTCTTTTATCACTGTTCCTGCCGTCCTGTTCTGCAAGCTAACTTGATTGGAGAGCACTGGCAAGTTATATTTTGTACCAGTTATTAAAATAGTTTAATGTTTAAATAATTTATATGTCTAAAATACCGTCTCTACGACAGACAGGGTGTCCTTATAATAAACCTTCACACTGTTTACTCAATATGTATTCCTTAATCTATTCTAATATTATATTGAACGCAGTATATAGAACATTAAATAAATGAAATTGAGAACCTAATCAGGTTTTCAATTGCATTTATTTAATGTTTAGCGATAGCTTCGTCAATTTAAAGATATATCTTAATCATCATGATTCACTCCCATGATCAATAAATACTATCACTATCAATATAGATCTGTTTTTGCTATCTCAATATAAAAGGGATAGGCTTACCGCTATCTCTTGGATTAATGAGATTATTATACAACAGTGATAATTGAAAAACGTTTCATTGCGGCACGGAAATTCCCGCCTGTACATCAAAATTTTCCAAATTCGACTAACTTTCTATATATTTTCAATAATATGAACAGAATACTATTGATCCGCTGATTACGTCTAAGATGATTCAATAATTTGACCCTCATATTATTACTCTCTTATTAATAAAAACTAAAAGCTGTTATCCGCAGCTGATCTTTACATCTTCACCTTAACTTCGTACTCCTTTTTTAATTGATGAAAATAGTATGGTATACTCGTCTGTGTAACTGTATACGTTGGAGAGCACAAGTGAGATTTTTTTTATGAGAGATGACAGTTTTTTGTTGACAAAAATTCAATATGTTTTCAATTCACTCTCTGTAAGACTACTACCGTTTAATACAATTAAATCTCGATGATAAAAAGTAACACTTCACACATGCTACACTAATAAATCACATCAGCTTCGCCTGAAAGCTCACAAATTGTGAGTTTCTATTTTCACAACATACGCAGATTTATAGACAATATTATTCTGGAATGCATGTACTTTATAAAAATATTTAAATTCGATGAAGTTATTATTATTGTCTTCTTTATTTTTTTATCCTTTCTAAAAAAACTGGTATTTCTATATTATAATCCTTATTATTATTAATATTATAAATTCATAGATCTTTTTTAAAAATTTAAATAAAATTTGGTACACAAATAGTATAAACCCTGAGAAAAGATATAGGCTACTTATTAATGCGAAAAAAGTTTGCAACCGGTTGAAAAGGAAAATGAAAAGTTATATAGAAATATTGTCACTTTTGTAGCTAGAAGCTTGAAATTTATTTTTCAATCTGTTGTTTATATGTAAATAAATATAGACCATCGAAGTTTGTAAAAAAAATACTTTGAAAGGGTAGTATATGACAGTTTGTATGTCATTTTTTAAACTAGAACGATGAAACTTATTTGTTTTTTATTTTTATTTGTAAATAAAATAGCCTATATAATTAATAATGCTATCTAAGGTCTCTATTCCACGCGGACGAAGTCGCAGGTACAGTCAGTACTATACTAATTAGTATACAGTCGTACCTTTTATAGGTAAAACGTCTTAAATATCAATTGACAGTCTATCATCTCAAAGTGAGACGATTCTGAAGATCGTCTTTGTACTTCGATGGACTCGAGATATATTTGAGCTCCTCTGTATGCGCTTTACAGATATAGAAAATTGGGATTGAGGTAGGGTATATTGTACATGTGACTTTGTGTAGGTATATTATTATTAGTATAAATTGACAAACAAATTTTGTTTTATATTATATCAAGGATTTAAGTAACCTTGAGCTATTCGACACGTCCAAACACCCGTCTGTACAAAATAAACAATGTATCTACAGCTGCACAGAAAATTGGGATCGTGAGTACATTATATCCGAAATTGTAAAAGCTTATTATTTATCTGTTATGAGTAGGGAATGCGTTTATGAAGAAAATTCATAGAAGGAATGGTGTCAGTTTAATCGGAATAGATAATGAGCTATTATTAACTTTACATGATATTGTCAGGACAATGCTATAAAGAAAACAATATGTTTACGATCACCGTCTTATATTTTAAAAATCATTAACAATATATTTTCCTACACAAGTTCGTTCACAATGTTCGTTAACAAATTAATGCCGTTAAAAGAAACAAAGTAACACATTCAAAACTTTAATTCTAGATTTCAATTTGACAAGTTATTATAAAATATGATAGGTAATTAAATTAGAATAATAATATAGTAAATATTAATAACCGTTGATGACAATATAGTTTTTTATAAATGTTTATGACACTTGGCCATCCCTATAAATGCGTACGACCTTTTACTTAAATTAATACCGTTACATAAAAAAAATATTAAAATACATATATTTAAAAAAAACTGACAATATATAAAGATCAAAGCTTCAAAGTTACTTTATATATAACTAAATAACAAGAACTAGGTATTCTAATTGGTAATTTATTAACTTTCTAACATTATATCAATAATATTACAGACATTATTTCAATACTAACAGGACATTATTATATGATCATTACAGGATATAATATTAAATATAATCGATGGGACCAGAGTTGTCATTCCATAGAACCATTAAGACCAAGGCTGACCTATAATATACATATATTATATATTTCATTTGTATGT